GAAAGGTACACAGACAGAGCCAGGCTATTTTCAGCAGTGCCCAATGACACGATCAAAGCCAATGGGCTGAAACACAGGAGGCTGCCTGTGAACAACAGGGAACACTTTAGTGCCCTGAGGGCAACAGAGCACTGGCACAGCACAGATTGCTCAGTGAGGTGGCAGAGTCTCTATTGGAGATATTCAAAACACATTCAGACACAGTCCTGGGCAACCTGCTGTAGATGACTCTGTTTGAGCATGGGGAGACTAGAACACCTCCAGAAGTCCCTGTGAGCCTAGGCAAGCCCATGAAGAAGCAAAGTAAAAAGGCAAGAAAGTCTTTCAACAGAAAAGCTGTTATCAAAAAATACCCCACAAGCCTCATTAGAGACAACTCTTAAGCTGTAGCATTTCTGCTCCAACAGTAACATAGAGAAAATCAAGGGAATCTTCAATTAAACCAGGTGAGCTAAAAGTCATTGGGACAAAAACCTAGAAAAATACACTACTTCAGCAACAAATAAAATTATAAACAACAAAAACAGGAGTACAGGTAAGAAGTTGAAATGAGTTTTATACTTGCAGTTATAACAGAGAACTATTCAAAACAGATAATAAGCATCTTTTTCTAAGATGCACAGAATAGTTTCTGGGCATTGCTGCTAATCCGGACATCAAGAAACAACAAAGAAACCCAACAGGATGAAGACTTGTATCAGAAAGCATTTTCTCAAGCACAAAGGGAAAAACAAACACTTTTACATACTTATTAACTTAACCTGACCAACCTCATAAGTCTATTTCAATCTTTCTCTAAAACGAATTTCAGACAGCTACCCCTTGGCACTCACCCCATGTTCAAAACATTCAGAAATTTATTCAGTGGCTAATAAAAGAAAGTGAAGCACAAGACCAGGAAGTGCAGTACTGTTCCTCCTCATCACACTTAGTCACCCAAAGTTAACATCACTAACTTAGGCCTCTCTTATGTCAGCCTCAAATATGGATCACAAGTCAGTGATCTCGGGAATCTGTGACTGAAAGCTGAAGTAAAAGCAGACATCCACCCCTTGGGGAACAACCCATCAAACACATGGACCATGGTTTATTGAATACCATATACTATGTATGGCCCAACAGCACTGCAAGGTTTGGTACCAGGATTCCTGTTGCTGAAATTGTGTGTAAAACATTAAGATTTTGAAAATCAAAGAAGAGCAGAGAAAAAATAAATCAGCAAATAGCTTTCAAATATGGATAAACATAAACAGTGAAACAGTACAAAGCCAAGCGTTGAGGACAAAATAGCCACGATTCAGTTAACATTTAGAAACAAACTAGAACCGGAAGCAAAAAGGTTCCTAAGCCATACACTTCATTCCATATTACTATATATCCATCATCCTCAAACCACTAAACAAAACAAATGGAGAAGAAACAAATACTATGCTTTCCTTCTCAAAAGCAATCTCAGTATGGTCTCTAAAGTATCATCCTACTTCCAGAAACTCTACTTGAATCTTAAGAAATACCAATGAAATGCTCTAGATTAAACCAATGCTAGATGCAAGAAAACTGCACAAAGACTTCCTCTCTACAGCTAACCATTAAAAATGTTTAGGAACATGGTCATAACTAGTGAATTCAAATCCTACACCTTCAACCACAGGGTCACCTAACAGACTGAGGTAAGCGTTTTTCCCCCCACTGAAATAGTTTTAAAAAGTGCAACCTGATGATTCAAATCTGGAGATTAACAAAGTATTTGTGTTTTCTACATTTAATTGTAAATTCACATACTGAATGATTCTGCAACACCAACTCCATTGAACATCTTCTACAGCAATAAACTGTATTTCCTGTATGATATAGCAGAAAAACAAAACCATGAAGTTCACCATAGGATTATTACTTCAGGCAAACCTTAAGAAAGATCAAAGCCCTCTCAACATGGGAAACATTTCATTGTTTTTAATGCAAAATGCTACACTCAGCTAGGCTAAGGATTCCTCCAAGCTCATCTGTTGGAAGACTGATTAAAGAAGCCTGGGGAGAGAGGGGAAAAAAGCTTAACAGTTTTACCTTCAAAAGAAGCCACAACATTGTGCAGGTTCCCAAGGACAGCTGGACAAAAAAGAAATATAATTTCAATAGCACTGAGAATAGAAACAATTCCATCCAAAGGAACTGCACAAAGTTGTTCGCATAACCCATTTTACAGGTTTTACAACCTAAAAAGCATGCAAGTAAAACAATATGCTCAGCAAAATATTTATGATGTAGTAAAAGCAGGCTGAGCAAGCCATGAGATCTTCAGCATCAGACCATACCACCTATAAATTGCCTGTCTGCAGTCCCTATTTACTCCTTGAAGCATTGAGATGTAATGAGAAGGGCTGAGGGTACCACACCTGTGGAATGAACAGCCTTGCAGGAGCCCCAGGCGGATGGGGAGTTCCAACAGACTCCCAGTGCAGATGGCCAAAATCAAAGAGTGTGGACTTTCATGTTAGAGCAAAACAGACAAACCCTTTGTACAGTTTTTGTAAAATATGAACCTGAAGTAATTGCAAAGGAGGCATTACACAACCTTTCATCCCAGCTCTCACTTTAATGAATGTAACCTGTTTAGGGAAGTTATATGAAAAACAGTGCAAGTCGAAACTAGGTCTTCTCTGAAAAGCACAGAGGACCCAATGGGCTGCAAGTAAACAGACTGTATCAGAAATAAACCTAAAATTCACCAAATGCTCTAGCAGAATAACAACACTGCAGTGGATATCACTTGTATTTCCACTAGCACCTTCCATTCAATAATTCTGAAGTCTACAAATACAACACGGTTTCTTTAATCTGTATTTTACAAAGTGGACAAGTCACTTGGTTTCCCTTTCAGGAAGGTCATACAAAGCTGTGGCAAAGCACTGAACATGGGTCTTCATAGTCCAGCCCATGTGCTTCCACCAAATAAGAAACAGATAAATGAAAAGATTCATAAGAGATCCAAAGTTTTACTCCTAGTCTTTCATGAAGTACCTATTCTAAGTATTGATACTAAACGTGACTGAAACTGCAAGTAAACAAATAATACAACATACTAATACTAAGACTCTCAGTGCTGATTATTAATAGAGCATTAACAGTATATGACACATACACTTTTCAAGCACTGTTCATCAGCATGTTACTCTGCTGTGACCAATACCAATAGGATAACACCAGCAACAAACATGAAACATACCAAAAAATGGCATTTTACAAGGAAATCATCATCTAAAATAAAAGTTCAAGGAAGAAATATAGAGCAACAACAATCTACTTCTAGGTTCTAGAACTACAACTTCAAAAAAATGGAAGAGCCAAACAAAAACAAAAAAAAAAAAAGTTAAAAAATAACAGCTTCTGGTAGCAAACAAGATTATTTGGTTTTCCCCCTAGCTTCCTTAGATTTTAGTGGTGACTCTGTAGTTTCCACAACCCCTCAAATAATCAAACCCTTTTGCAACTCACAGCACCAGGAGCTTTATGGACGATGGGCCAAAATAACTGAAGCAGTCAGAATTTCAGAAATGTCATGCTTTTTTTACTATAGATAGTTTTCAAAATCAACACACTGATAAAACTACAACTAGAACAAAGTAGGACAGAGCTTGTTCAATTCCCACTCCTCCCCACCTCCAAATTATTGAGGTTATAAACACAAAAGCCACCTCATTTTCAAGAGTCACAAAACATCATTAATCCTACAAAGTGGTTTGGCTTTGCTTGCTTTCAAGTTACCTAGTGTAAGGTTAAAAATAAATTCTTTAAACAAGTTAGGTCAAACCCCACAGAGAGACTGGGTCCAGGTATAAATTCTGAGTCAGACAGGTAGGAATCCAAACCCATATTCCATTAGAGAACATGATACAACCAAAGGAATTGGTGAAAGGGCCTGGTAAATATTAAGGAAGCAAAAGCCAGGAGGCTGAGTCGCTGCCATTTTTTGTGAAGGACTCTGTTTCAACGGCAAGTACTGCTCCCCCTCCCTTCATTTCCCTCACATGCAGCTCCAATTTCTCTACTTGGAAAAAAACAGCTGCTCTCAAGCCAGGACAGCCCCTCCATTCCCCTCCCACAGCCTTCCTTCACACAGCTATGCAGCAAACTCCGAGCTTCTGCTCCACAAAACATCCCGTTCCTCTGAACACAACCAAGGGTGCTCTGCTCATCCACACTCCTGGTGCTAACACGCTTACAAGAGAAAGCTTCAAACCAGTCCACCCTGCTCCCAGGTGGCACCCAATTGCGCTGCAGACATTCCAGCACAAGCTTTTAAACCTACTGCACATCAGAGGGTTTAGACCCTTGCCATAAGACTCAAAACATGCACTAGGTCCTTTCTACATCTGGCTTCTTGCACGGGAATGCCTACCACTTCCCTTTGCTGCTGCAATTTTCTTCAGCAACAGGAGAAAACGCAGAAGAGCTTCTTTTTGTTGTTTTTAAAGGCAAGGTAAGTCAGACCAATAGCAAAACCCTGCTGTGACACTCAGTTCCAAGCAACCACGCACAGTCGATGGAAAGGAAGGACTAAGGTAGAGAAGGTTAACAGAGGGAATGGTTCATTCATTGTCATGTCCTCAAGTAACCCACTGTAGCTGCTGAGATCTTATTGTCTGCAGCTGTGACCCCCCCCACCATCAGCGAGGGAACACCCGGGAACGGGATGAGCAACCACAACATGGAAGTAGAGCCCTGCGTAAGTCATGGATCAATACTACATCATCCACTTGTTCACTTCTCGAACAGCCACCTCCCCTCTGGCCTGACTCCTGCCGCCAGCCCCACTCCTCATCTGCGGGGTCCAGCTGGTCCCGCTTTCCTCACATCCGCCCGAGCTAGAGGCACCAACCAGCCAGAGGGAAACCCCCGGTGAAGGAGACGAGCACCTCCAAGACAAGATGAAACCCTCCTCGAAGGCGAACGGGGTGCAAGACCCCCTCCCGCGGCTGTCAGGGGCTGCAGAGAGAACCCACCTCTCCCGGGGCCAAGCGGGTTCCCCCTCCCCAGCCAGGTGGGCGCCACCCGCACCCGCGGCCCTGCTGCGCGGGAGAGGAGGGGGGCGGAGGGGGGAAAAGGCGATCTAGGCCAGGGCGAAGCTTCCCTGGGGCGGCCGCTACG